TATATATTAAAAAGTAATAATATAATATTTAGTTTCATTGTTTATATAATATGTGCTTGTAATTTAAAAATTCATATAATCTTTTTAAAAAACATACTATTAATGTTTTCATCATAATAACATTTGCTCATATAACAACCAACAATTAATCTCCTCAAGAACATATGATGGATATCAAAGACGTTGAATTAAATTCTCATAAAACACAAAAGATACGTCATATGTATATTATTACAAGTCCTTAATGTAACATAAAGAGAAAAAGAATATTATAATTTATTCAAGTAACAACAGAGATCTTAGTCCTTCGACTAGATGTTTGGACTTTAGACGACCTAATATGCTGAGAAGATACTTCGATACGTTCTCTTTTTGTTGAGTCAAACTCCCTTCTTTCATCATGCAAAATTTGCTTGTAGCGACACTCCACACTGCAAAATCCCTGATCACCCCTGAATATAGTTATAGAAAATTATTCTTTAAGGCATAATTTGCTATGAAATCACAAATAATCTTTCAAATTCATGATAAAATGAAGTTAAAATAAAAATATTAAATGAAAAAAAAAGTTAAGCAAGATCGATCATTTGATCAACAAAGGTGATGACTATGATCATTAGCATTTTAAGCATTGTCACGCATTACTTGAAAAATACTTTTTATCTTCTTAAGATGTTTCCTTAGCGATAATTTTGAGTATTCTAGAAAAATGCTACGAAAAAGAAAAGTGTTAATGAAAATTTCATCAAATCAACTAATATTAATATTTTGTGGTTAATTTCTCTCTTTAAAAAAGGACTATAAATTAAAACTCTTATAATATGATTATAAATTTTAAATTAATTAATTAATTATAATCAGGAAAATAAGAAATAAAAAATTCTTTCATTGTATTGAGGGACCCCAAAATTTGAGCTCTCATTGTATTGCACCTATATCCCATTTAATTTTTAATTAATCAAACAATCAATTAGATAAGGACAAAAATAATGCAATATTGATAAACCCCTCATAACAAATTGTATTATAAGATTGGAGCTTCAAACCCAATATTTATGTCCTCAGAAAATTCTTCTGTATATGCAATTAATTTTTCTAATTATAAAAGATCATTATGTACTGTCCATGTAATCAAAGCAAGCCTTGGTAGAAATAGCATTTAGTAATTAATAAGCTACATGCTTCTAAAAAGGTTAATTACCTATACATGTAGACTTCTTTTTGGAGGCTTAGCTCTTTCTTACACAAGAAGCATGATTTGAGAAAATTTTCAGACAAAAAATGGCAACCAAGAGCCTCTGGCTTCTTCCAAGGCTTCACTGATGACTTGATCACAACGTTAGATTTCTTCCCTTGGTGTTGTTGTATGAGGATCCTTAGGCCAACAAGCTTGCCCTCTCTTGCTTCTCTCACTGAAACTCCATTAATGGCATTAAGCTCCCTTTCTCTCTCTTCCTCAAGGTGAAAGATGCTCCTTGTTCTTGGTAGCATCTCAAGAAGAAGAAGAAGAAGAAGAAGAAGAAGAAGAAGAAGAAGAGGGAGGAGAGGAAGGAAGAGAGTGAGGAGAGAATAAATTCTTATGAAGTGGTGAAAAAGGATGACAAGAGGGGTGAGAGCTATGGAACAAAGTGATGGATATTTAAAACCTCTTGTTTGGCACAAATGAACCATCAATTCTTTCACATGTCACAATAGAATCATTATTTTTTATTCATGTTTTGGTTGGTTTGGCTCAGCTCACTTTTGGTTAATTAAGGGCAATGAGACATAATTGCTTTAAGATATAATACTTTTGTATTTAAATGATAGACATTCATGGCATGAATATGAAAGAAACTTTTTTGTTATTTAAATAACATTGTGGTTCTATTAATTCCTTTATAAGTACAATTTATTTTGATGGTAATTGTCACTAAAGTTTTTAAGTAATTACTAAGTTAGTATGAAGATAAGAAAAGACTCACCAGATGTATTAAGTGATAATAGTTTATTAAGATGGAATTAAAAAAAAAAAAACTTAATATTAAATCTCTTTCATACATATCGTATGTAGAGTGTTAGAAAATTCATGGTAATATGGAGAAAAAAAATTTATTGTTTTAACATTACATGAAGATCCATCATATATATATATATATATATATATATATATATTAGATAAGTAAAGGGCAGCTCATAGGTAATAAAATGTGTTAATATAATATAGTAGATATGAACAGTAAATGTTGGATTCCATGATGCAACTTCGAGGAACCATGAGATATTGGAAAAATAGATCCTGTATAATTATTTGATCATTCTTCTTTAAGAGGGACACGACCAAAGAAAAAAAAAATCTATTATAAACTTTGGTGTCATTGTCGAAAGTCAAAGATCGTGTCAACGTCAAGCATCAGTCTTAATGGTGATGACATGCATCAACATTACAAGCGATGGTAGGAGACAAAATCGACAGAGAAATTAGTACTTTTGATGATGTATATTACTAAAAGTATATATATATTTTTTCATAAATAATTAAACAACCAAAATTTGTTATGTGGGTGCTGCCCCTTGACCCCTATTTATTCATATCATTGATCGTTGTACGCTTCGCAGATATATAGGGGGTCCAAGGGGGCAGCGCCCCCTTGCAGGGTTTGACATAATGTGTTTAATTTGGTTGTAATGATATTTTGACCCTTTTTTCTTTTTTTTTTACAAATTTTGGTTCTCTAACAATAACATCTCTACATAATGTGTTTAATTGTTTTGGGGCAATTGCCTAAAGATCATAGTATTTTAAAACTTTTAGGGAGTAGGGAGACCCCCCCCCCCTGGGCATATAGCAGATCCGCCCCTGGATGATGATTGAAAAACTATGTAGGGATCAATGTTGGTTTTAAGGCATGTGTTAGCTTTATAGGCAATGGAGTGCATAAGTGTTTTCGGTGATATACATGAATATATAATTGAATCTATCTTTCTTTTCCTTTATCTAGATATCACACATTTCATATAAACAACGGAAACAAATATTTCATTTGTATTCATCAATATGTACAACGATTATAAACAAAAAAATAGCATATATATAATAATCATGATGCAAAAGACTTGCTACATCACTATAAATACATCATGACTATAAGAAAAATTACAAGTGTTGAAAATAAAACTAAATATACTGTCTAGAGTCTCACGTCGCAAGATCCTTATCCTTTCCTTAAAATATGTAAAGCCATGTAATAAGCACATAGCCCACCAAGCAACCAAAATTTTATAACTGAAATTAATGCAAGCTAAAAGAAACAGTATGCTATAAATCATGTAAAGAACCCTATACACCAATGTATGTTATCTATTATTATTTCCTTCACATATATCTTTCAGTTATAATCATGTATATATAATGTCAATAACAGTATTCAATATCAGTACAAGAACCGTATCAGTATCAATACTCAGAATCAGTATCAATGATCATAAGCAACATACAATCAATATCAGTAATGAGGGTATCTAGCTCCTACACATATGACTCCCAATTAGTTGCATCTTATGACTCCCAATATATATACTCCTTATAACTCCCCTTGAATTATGTGAACTAGTCACCCCAACCATTTATGACTCCATTAATCTCTATCTTCTTATAACTCCCATCCACTAATTCATGTCAATAGACCACGTGGATCTTAAGAATATCACATGAGATTATCATATCGGTTATTTGATATCAATAAGTATACCATTTTCTAGAAGAGCGATATCTAGACATTACATCCTTTCAGTTAGATCAATATCACATTTTAGTACATATTCATCATACCAATCATTTCAGCACATTACATTTTAATATTATCATGTCAATCGCAACACATCACTTTTAGCCCGTTTTTAGTATACCTTTTCTCTACTCATTTCTCTTGAAATTCCTATACACATATTTAGCTAGTGAAAATATAATAAAATCATATCAAATCATTCAGAATGATCAAATTTATAACATATCAAAACTTATGCGATAAAAGCTTATGAAATTAGAAGATAATACATTTTTAATAGATTTATGAGAGATAATTTATTAGAAATCAAAATCACTGCATGAAAATAGATGTAAGAGAATAGTTACTTACAATTCTTATAATATTTTTTGTTAAAGGAACATTGGACAAAAATGACTAGAAACAGGTTTTCTCTCTCCTCATTCCCCTTTTTTCCTCTCCCTTCTCTCCCTCTTCTTCTCCCATTTCCTCCCGTCCAAGTAAGAGAGTGAGGGAATGAGGAAGGAGGTGCAGGGATATTTATAATGTAATATATTAAAAAATATTTTTAATGGCCTAGCACCACAGCGCTCAGACCCAACGCCGCAGTGTTGCAAGTTAAATTCAGAGTTACTATAGAACATACAATGTCGACAATTTCTGGCTCTACTGTGCTTTCAAACCTAGTGCTCACTAGTACAACACCGAAATGCTCTTGTTCAATTTAATTTTAATTTTTAATTTTTAAAAACACATTTTATATTTTTGAATTATTACATATTGGGTAATAAAATTGGTGGGCAGCGATAATTGTATCAATGACATTAATTAACCTTATATACAATGATGTGCATCAATGTTGGTGGCGATCATGAGTGATAAAGTTGGTGAGCATTTATATTAGTGTGACGATGTGCATCGACTTTTAAGCAATGGCGTGCATCGACATTATTGACATTGATGTTTTGGTTGATAACATGCATCACCCTTATAGACAATTGCATCTATCAACATTGGTAGCAATGACAAGAAACAAATTTGATAGGTCTTGGTGTTGGTGTCGACAATATGCATCATTCTTATAGTAAGGTTGTTGGTTGTGACATGTGATAAAGTTGGCGTACAACAACATTTGCATCGACGGAGTGAATTGACCTTATAAATGATGGCATTCATCAATGTTGTTGGCAATGATGAATGATGACATAGGCTGGCGATGATGTTTTTTTTTGTGACATACAACAATCTGATAGGTGACAACGTCCCTCAACCTTTTTTGCAGTGAAGTATGTAGAATATTATAATCAGATGATGGTGATCGTGAGACTGTAGTTAGGTGATGATGATTGGATGGTGGTGGTAGGGTAATGAATGCCAGGCAATGGAAGTCGGGCAATGACATATGGGCGACGATGATTGTTGACGGTGGGTGTTAAACATTGAGTGAAGCTCTAGAATTGTAGATCTCTAAGTTATCTAGAATTTCATGTGATGGACTAAGTTCAAATCCCTCTTTTATATAAAGGATGAGTTTTATTTATAGTATTTTGGAGTGAAACTTTGATAATTTTAGTCCAAAAAAAAAAAAAAACTACATGAGAAGATCTATGTTGATTCTCTTAATTGTAGATTATTCCTTCAACATTTGAGTGTCTAAACAAACTTATTATTAAGTGATATTTCGCTCATTGAATTCCTCACATTGAGACATTTGTTTTGACTATAAGCAAAAAATATTCAAAGATAGGCTGACCACCCCTCAATTAATATCACAAAACTTCTAACTACACTTCAAGTACTCGATTTGGGTTCATAATTTGAAATCGAATTGGAACACTTTTGGTGTTGCTAAATTTGTCTCATCGAAACATCCATTTAAACTATGAGTTTGCTAAATTAGAGTTTGGATGATTTTAATTTTAATTTTAGAATTTTATAATTTAAATATCGTACCAAAATTCATACTTGATCAAATTAGTTTTCTAAATATTTAGTTTAATTTACTAAAATCTTTAGACAATTTGGAAAATTTGATCATTATACATATTGAATATTAATCCACTTACTTTAATTTAAATAATATTCCTTAAATGAACTTAAATACATGGTTTAGAAGTGGGCTTTTTTACTTAATAAATTATTATTTTAGTTCTTTTTCAAGCTATTTAAACCTATATATGGAATTAGGGGTGTCAATATTTTACACGACACGAAAATCCGACATGGACCCGACCCGAAAAATCCGGGTTGAACCCGACCCGATTTAAAAACGGGTCGGGTTCGGGTTCCAGAATTCGACCCGTTTAAAAAACGGGTCGGGTTCAGGTTAACCCGGTGGGTTGCCGGGTCAACCCGCCAACCCGTTTAATTCGAAAAATTTCGAATCCCGCACCCCTATATGGAATTGACAAATGACATTAATAAAATTTTAAATTATATGCCGACAAAAATCAAAACTAAGGCTTGGTTTGAGAGTTGGGACATCTTTTGGTCACTATTTTTTATTACTTAAAAAAAATTACTAGAAAATTATTCTAATAACTATTTTTCGTTACTTCTAAATTTTTTTTACTATTATTCTAAAAATAGTAAAGAAATTGACCCAAATAAAAACCTAAAAAAATAGAAAGTTTATGTCGGTAAGAGGATGCTATAAAAACAAAAGGCTAAAGTCAGGTTCTTCATTACTAATTTGTTTGTTATTATAATTTTTAATTTGGATAAATGAAAATTAAATTTGCATTTGTACCAGCTGTTGTTTTCAACT